AAATTTGTCCAAGAGCATTCTGATTTGCTAGCCACTAAGATGGAGGATTCTTATTGGCCTATTGAAGCAATAAGGGCGATTTTCTCTCCTCGGAAAGCCTAATTGAAGATTTATATACAGGGCTCTAGAGCTAAAGTCCGGGGGAGAAGAGACGAGAGGTTAAGGAAGGGTTGTTACTCTGCCGACAGAGGAACTCTCTCCAATTAGAGCGATGCCAAATTAGAGGGAGAATCGGCCGCAAAATCGGTGCCACTTGGCCTATTTTCCAAGTTCTAGCCGCCGGTTCCTATATTGCTCCGGAGTCTTTGTTTCCAATAATGAATGCCCAGGACACCCTCCCCATGGTCGGCTAAGTTCCTTAGTTGCGTAAGTATGTGAACCTAGGGGTTCTAGCCATGTAGACTTGATGATATGGTTAGTACGATTGTTTGATATTTAGATGTACTATGCTTGGTTTCCTCTATTTCGTTATTTGTTTATTCGTTCGATTGCTTAGTCTGTCTTGCACTATTTCAAGGTGCAAGATACGAAATCCTAGTCAATTAGGATGGGTCTAGAAATAGTAGTCCTATCTGATCGAACCTCATTCGAACAAACGACGTATCGCCTCAATGGGGAAATTCGAAGGGACCTTGTCGCCATTAGTTTGGGTAAATGGATTGACACAAGATGGGATCTAACGATGCCTATGCAACGCTTTCATTTCTTCTCTTTCACTTCTCTAGTAGTTTAGATTTACTTTTTCTGCACTCGCTTTATGTTTTGAACACCTAAGTTCTGCAAAATCAGAGGAACCTCAACCTCCTAAATTGACTTCTTCTTCAATCGAATAGTACCTTGCTTCATAAGTAAGGGTTCTGCGAGAGGCCCGAGGGAATACGTTCTTGGACTTAGGGCTAGGTAAATTTGATCTACACGACAGATCAAATTTTTGCATCGTTGTTAGGGACATCTCGCAAACTTTGGAAAAGGTAATGAGGCACACGTTCTATTTTATGCTTTCCACTGGTCGTAACCTTAAGGGAAATCGGTGCCAGAAGCACCAATATCTCTCCCATTATAGCCTTAGGGGGTTGATTTTGAAGAGGCGTTCTGCTTCCAGAATTTTACCTCTATCTTGGGCATGAGCACTTCCGAAACTAAGGCCAAATTCAAGAAGTTTAGATAGAAAAGACTTTCCCAAGGTCGTGATTATAAGAGTGGTACTTCTAATTCATCTGATCAGAAGACACCACTACCAGAAAAAGGAAAGAGTAAGAAGTAGTTGCTTACTGCTCTTTACTCAAATCCTCTCTTCGACAAAGGTTCGAGAGTAGAGAGTAACTCCTCTCCCACTGAACCTCCATCACCTTGAGGAATGGTGGAACAAACTCTATACGAGTATATGATGCCTTACTGTGCTTCACCTTCCAGCATTGTCCTTCCTCGGTCAATGTATCAAACTTTGAGCTGCGTACTTCAATGATCCATACGGCCCAAAATGCTGGATGTTTTGAGGGGTGCGATAACGAGAATCTGATCGAGTATGTCAAAACATTTATGGAGATATATATGTGATTCCTCACAATAGTACGCGTGGAGGCCGACGCAATACGACTACGTTTCTTCCCTTTCTCTCTTACAGGAAAGGCAAAGAGCTGGCAATCTAGCCAATCATTGGGAGCATTCAGTATGTGGTACGTATTAGTACAATCCTTTTGATAACACCATATTTACACATGTTTTTCCCAACACTTCTTGACCGTTTGGTGTAGCTTTTGATGCCTTTTGGCTCGTTTTACGCTAGGTAGTGCTTGTTGATGATGTTTCAGGTTCTTGCAAGTAAATGGAAGATGAGGAGCAAATCTGGATGCAACTGGAGAGCGAATGGGAACCGGAGGCCAGAGCAGCTAAATCCACAGTTTGGTGCTTCAAAATCCCCGACCTTGGATTCAAGGAATGGTCCGTCTAATCCATCCATTGAAAATCCACGGTCTAAAACCCAGTTCCACGACCGGGGATTTCTATGAAGAGACTGTGGATTTCGGATTTGCCACTAATCGAGGAGCACCGTTTTGGAAAATCCACAGCCTGAACTCAAAATCCACGACCGTGGATTCGGATCGTGGATTTTGGCATCCGGTTTTCTAAGCTGCAGCTGGTGGAAGTTAGGATACAATATGGATTTTGAGTTCTAAACGTCTAGAGATAAAGCGACGAAGAACACCCCTTGAACAATGATTGGAGCGATATGAAGACCTCAAAGCTCGATTCCACACTCTCGGAGTACCGATTAGCCGCTAGGAGCAGATCTTCATTGGGTACATAATCATTTCTCTTCCTAGCATGATTTTTCCTCTTCTCTCCATGGAGTAAACTCCCTTATCATCTGGGTATGAAGAAACCTAGTTTTGTAGGTTAGGAATGGTGGTATGAAACCATGAAACAAAATACTTTTACCAAAATACCCTTTATAAACCATAAAACAAAATAAGAATTGCAAACACTTGGAAAAAATATCGGAAACTTTTCATAAATAACTAACAAATACTGAGAATAAACTGTAACTTCTTAAAACAATGCCCTAACACTTGGGCGAACCACAATCATAAAATCTTAATCTGAATCACCAGTCTATGCTCATAATCATAAAATGAAATAACTACAAACCTTCCACTCTTAAAAACTCTTAACTTTTAAAACTGTATGGGAGCTAAAATTACTCTCCCTTCTTAAAACTCAAATCTTGACTTAAACTTCTGACTGACACTAGGATCCCAGTCTAGTTGCCCAACTCATACAGGCTTTCCTTAAACTATGAGACAGGGTGCGAAGAGCGTCGAGGATTATTTCAAGGAGATGGAGACATTCATGATTTGAGATCGAGTCCATGAAGACCGAGAAACAACCATGGCTCGATTTCTCAATGGACTCAATCGGGAGATCAGGCAGGTAGTGGAGATTCACCATTACATGGAAATTGAGGATCTGGTGCAGATGGCTTCTAAGGTCGAGAAGCAGCAGAAGGGAGGCTATGCAAGGAGGGTTGCCCCAGGCACGAGTGCCTTCTCGAGTGCAACTCGAGCCCCATTTGTGAAGAAGGAGGAGCCTAAGCAGTACCCAAGCCGATCGCCACCAATGTTGGAGAGAAGGCAACTACTAACACACGTTCGAGCTCTATTGTGTGTTACATGTGCCAAGGTCGAGGTCATGTGGCGAATCAATGTCCGAACAAGCGAGTGATGATCTTACTTGAGAATGGTGAGTACGCCTCTGAGCCTGAAGATGGAGAGGTCGTGACTGAAGACGAGGAAGAAGAAGCTGAGGAGCGTCCGGTGCAAGGCAACTACACCTACGTAGCTCGGCGACTTCTGAACGTGCAGCAAAGGGAGGAGATTGAGCAGCGGGAAAACCTGTTCCATACCCGTTGCTTGGTCAATGGGAAGATGTGCTCGATGGTCATAGATGGAGGGAGCTGCACCAACGTTGTTAGCTCACACATGGTTGCAAAAGCAAGGCTTGAAGACCATCAAGCATCAGCGACCCTACACTTTCCAGTGGCTGAACGAGGATGGAGCAATTAAGGTGAACACTTTTTAGCTCAAACGACCTGCAGGCTTTGCCTAGCGGTGTCCAGCTTATTTTGCAGGAATTCGGGGATGTCTTCCCTGAGGAAGCTCCTAAGGGGCTGCCGCCAATAAGAGGAATCAAGCACCAGATCGATTTCGTTCCTGGTGCTTCAATTCCGAACAAACCAGCGTATTGAACCAATCCGGAGGAAACTAAAGAGCTTCAACGGCAGGTGGACGAGCTGATGAAGAAGGGCCATGTTCGAGAGAGCATGAGTGCTTGTGTTGTACCTGTCATACTCGTACCTAAGAAGGATAAGACTTGGCGTATGTGTGTTGATTGCCGAGCCATCAACAACATCACGGTAAAGTATCGACATCCTATTCCTAGATTGGATGATATGCTAGATGAATTTCATGGTTCTAGTGTGTTTTCAAAGATAGATCTTAAATATGGATACCATCAAATTCGTATGAAAGAAGGTGATGAATGGAAAACTTCTTTTAAAACAAAGCATGGTTTATATGAGTAGTTAGTTATGCCTTTCGGTTTAACTAATGCACCTAGCACGTTTATGAGACTAATGAACCATGTTCTGCGAGCTTTTATTGGAAAATTCGTTGTGGTCTATTTTGATGATATTCTTATTTACTCTAAGAACTTAGATGACCACGTGAATCACCTTAGGGCTGTTTTAGAAACTCTTTGAAAGGAACAGTTGTATGGTAATCTCAAGAAATGCATGTTTTGTACTGATAGACTTGTGTTTCTGGGGTTTGTGGTGAGTTCGAAGGGGATTGAGGTGGATGAGGAAAAGATCGAGGCAATAAAAGGGGGGCCCACCCCAACTAATGTGAATGAGGTTCGAAGTTTTCATGGTCTTGCAGGGTTTTATCGACGGTTTGTTAAGGATTTCAGCACCATTGCTGCTCCTTTAACCGCAACAATTAAAAAGAACACGACCTTTCAATGGGGTGAAGCTCAACAGAAAGTGTTTGATCTTTTAAAATAGGGTTAATATTTTCGTATGGCCTGAACTTTGACCAAAGTAAACATCCTGGCCAATCTTTTAGATCTATAACATTATGGCCCGAACTATACACCAAAGTAAACAATTTGGCCAAATCAGACTGTTGACCGTTAACTTCGACGGTCAAACGCGTTGACTAACGGTCAACGCGCCATGTCACCGCCAACTCAGCAAAAAAAAAAAAAAAAAATTTAATTACCACCTAGCCCATTTAATTTCCACCTATTAGGTATTTTCTTAATTTGAAGACGAAAAAAAAAAATCCCACAAAACGCAGCGGGTTTACCCTAACCCTACCTTATCCATATCGTTCCCATCTCCATCCACAGAAATCACCCGCCGACCTCACCTCACCTCACCTCACCTTCTCCTTCCTTCATCGTCGAATCACCTCACCGACTGAAAAATGCAGCGGCGGGCGTTCTTCTTCGCCCAGATTTCCCCCCTCACCTTCGCGATTTCTGATCCCTCGCGATTTCTCGCGATTTCTTTCTTCTCTCTGTGCATCGATAACGACCTGGTGAAAAGGACGACGACGAGTCCACATTTCAAAGGGACCACAGCCAACAGATCGCATTCCCCACCAGCAACGTAAGCAATCGATCCCTTTCTTCTCTCCATTTCCATTCTTTTTTAATCCTCGCTAAAATCCAAGGATTAGGGTTTTCTAGTAAACTGAGATTAAAGTAATGGAAACTGAGATTAAAGTAATGGAAACTGCGATTAAACTAATGAAAACTGAGATTAAAGTAATGGAAACTGAGATTAAACTAATCTCGTATCATTTTTTTTTGTCTTTGCTAGAATGGACGATATGGTTGAGCTTATTCTGCATCATGGAGGCGCGATGAATATGTCGAGGGGTGTTCCACAGTACGTTGGGGGGGGTTGTCGATGTCGTCAATGTGAATCGTGACTCTTTTGCTAGGTTGTCAGAATCAAAACTTATGCCACACCAACGATTCTGCCTTATTTTGTACATGCTGTACATGCTAGGACATGTTAAAAGCATCTAGTGACTCTTTTGCTAGGTACTCAGAATCCCAACTTATGGCACATCCTGTTGATTAATCCTTATTTTGTACATGCTACTGCTATGACATGTTATAATGATGGTGATTGCAAGTTTGGTTGATGTACTGACTCGGTTAAAACGAAACGCTTTATTCAATCTCCACTACAAACACCATTCCTCTTCCTCATGAAATCTCCATTACATACGAAGTGGTCCACACACGATTACAACAACGACTACGAATAGCACACAAAAACAGCATAAATTCATCCTATTTTGAAGGCCATAAACTGTGTGTCTCATCTTTCGCAGTTCGAGACAAATTGCAGAATTCAGTTCGGCAAGCTTGGCCAAGTCCTCTAAAATCACAGCCTTTTCTTCTTTCCGTTTCCTGGCCTTCTCTTCTGCTTTACGAACACGGCCTTCTAGAGCTTCCATATCACCAAGCTTCAATTTCAGTTCATGATACTCTTCCATCAATCCATCAACCCTCGAGTCACTATCCGGCTCGTCATCAACCCATCGGAAAAAATGGCAACTCTTTTTGTCATCCTACAGAAATGGAAGAGGTGAATCGAGATCAAGTTGGTCAAAACAAAGATTTAAAGGTGGATTTCAACCTACCTTCCAATATGGACAGGAGAAGAACATTCTTCCAGGATTCAAGCTAGTGCGAGATGTATTGATCACACAAGGGGCTTTGTGCACTTTACAACGAATGGTGCCTGTGTTCTTCGAACGGGAAGAAGTGGAACCTTCGTCGGCGTTTTTCGCAGATCTCCTCGACATGTCTCTTTCTTTCTCCCTTCGGCAGTGACAGCGACAGCGACTTCGGCGGAGGCGGCGGCAGAGGCGAAGGCGGAGGCGGAGGCGCTGGGCTAATCTTTCCTTCTCAACAACATCGTAGGCGGCTGGAGGAAGAGAGGAGAGGATAGGACGAAGAAGATGAAGAATGGGGGTTAGGGCAGGGGTTAGGGTAAACCCGCTGCGTTTTGTGGGATTTTTTTTTTTTTCCGTCTTCAAATTAAGAAAATACCTAATAGGTGGAAATTAAATGGGCTAGGTGGTAATTAAAATTTTTTTTTTTTTTTTTGCTGAGTTGGCGGTGACATGGCGCGTTGACCGTTAGTCAACGCGTTTGACCGTCGAAGTTAACGGTCAACAGTCTGATTTGGCCAAATTGTTTACTTTGGTGTATAGTTCGGGCCATAATGTTATAGATCTAAAAGATTGGCCAGGATGTTTACTTTGGTCAAAGTTCAGGCCATACGAAAATATTAACCCTATTTTAAAAGATCAAACACTTTCTGTTGAGCTTCACCCCATTGAAAGGTCGTGTTCTTTTTAATTGTTGCGGTTAAAGGAGCAGCAATGGTGCTGAAATCATTAACAAACCGTCGATAAAACCCTGCAAGACCATGAAAACTTCGAACCTCATTCACATTAGTTGGGGTGGGCCCCCCTTTTATTGCCTCGATCTTTTCCTCATCCACCTCAATCCCCTTCGAACTCACCACAAACCCCAGAAACACAAGTCTATCAGTACAAAACATGCATTTCTTGAGATTACCATACAACTGTTCCTTTCAAAGAGTTTCTAAAACAGCCCTAAGGTGATTCACGTGGTCATCTAAGTTCTTAGAGTAAATAAGAATATCATCAAAATAGACCACAACGAATTTTCCAATAAAAGCTCGCAGAACATGGTCCATACGAAAATATTAACCCTTTAAAATATAAACTAAACGATGCTCCTTTGCTGATGTTGCATGACTTTTCTAAAACATTCGAGATCGAGTGTGATCCCTCTGGTGTAGTCATTGGTGCTGTTTTGATGCAGGAGAAGAGGCCAATAGCTTTCTTTAGCGAAAAGTTGAGTGGGGCTGCCTTGAACTATCCCACATAAGACAAAGAGCTCTATGCTCTTGTTCGAGCTCTAGAAACGTGGCAGCACTATCTCTGGCCTAAGGAGTTTGTGATCCACACCGATCATGAATCCTTGAAGTACTTGAAGGCACAACATAAGCTGAACAGACGACATGCGTGGTGGGTGGAGTTCATCGAATCCTTCCCCTATGTGATCTTCTACAAGAAAGGTAAGGAGAATGTGGTCGTCGATGCCCTTTCTCGCAGGTATGCTTTGATTTCTTCTCTCGATGCTCGATTCATTGGGTTTGAGCATATCAAAGAGTTGTATGTCAATGATCCTGATTTTGGTGAGATCTATACGACTTGTGAGAAGCATGGTGAGGGAAAATATTACCGAGCGGATGGTTATTTGTTTCGTGCTTACCGACTTTTTGTGCCTCATGCGTCAATTCGTGAGCTACTGGTTAGAGAGGCTCATGGTGGAGGCCTCATGGCTCATTTTGGGGTATCCAAGACTTTGGATTGCCTCCAGGAACACTTCTACTGGCCTCACATGAGAAGTGACGTGGAGAAGGTGTGTGTGCGGTGTCTTAAGTGACGCCAAGCCAGGTCAAGAGTTCAGCCAAACGGGTTATATACTCCTCTCTCTATTGCTACTGCTCCTGGATTGATATTGCTATGGATTTCTTTCTTGAATTGCCTAGGACTAGGAATGGTAGAGATTCGGTGTTCGTTGTGGTTGACCGGTTTTCAAAGATGGCACACTTTATCCCATGTCACAAAACTGAAGATGCATCCAATGTAGCTGAGGGAAGAGGTGAAGGCGAATCACGTCATCTGGAACACCGTTTAGCTTGGACCCATTGGTCAGTTGTAAGAACCGAGAAAGGTGTACCCTCGCCTCTTCAAACTTGAGATCATGGAATTTGATGGAAGATGTAATCAACTAGATCCCCGCTCCCAAATTTTTTAGCAGGGATGGGCGGATACTGTATGACTAGCCAAATATCAGCGAGCCGTGGATGTAGAAGTACTCCATGGTGTGCTCTGGCAAAGGTGGCTAATGGTTGGCTTCGCCCGCCTAGGGAATTGCATTGTTAGGAGGGACTTGATTCACTGGAGGGGCATCCCCAAAGGTTGTCCCTCATTCAGGTTGTTCATCCGGTTGTGCTCGTCCCCGATATCGTCCTCCTGATCTGAATCGCGGTTGATCCGGCCATCCACTCGCTCTTCTTTCGCAACCAGTCTCACTTTGTTACACCCCGAATTTTGGGTTCAGGTTCGACCATAATACGTGATCGGTTGGATTGACGGTTACGTGCGAAGAGTTGTAATCACGAATTACTCATAACAATAATAATAACTTCTATTATATTATTATTACTATTAGAAAGAAAAACAATATATATAAATACATAGAGGAGGAGGCGATCGCCCACACTCCCCCTCTAATTATTCTCCCCACCCCCTGCCATCTAATTTTCCCCAGGCCAAGTGAAGAGGCGCAGCAGCCCAGCATCCCTTTCGTGTCCCTAGAGTTTGCGGTGAGGTTTGAGGGTTCGATCATCGATCAACGAGTAGATCAACTTCACGAGCGATCCGATCTAGACCTAGGCACCTTCTAGAAGGGAACTCGATCCCTTTGAGTTAGATGGATTAATTTGGGGATTTTTCGAGAGGGTGCAATTCTGAGTTTTTAGCAACAGACTTGACAGGCATTTAGTGACTGATTTTGGGTGCTCACTAAAGCTACTTGGAATTTCCATAAACATATTTTTGGATGTTTTAGATTGTTTTGAGCCTCTTCCAGTGATGTTTTCTGGATATAGAAATTTTATAAATTGAGGGACGTCTAGTTTAAGGCTGTAATTTAATTTGGGGATTTTGGAAGATGAATTACTATTTTTAGAAATTAGACGAATGTCAATTTTATTTAAATAAAAATCCTGCCAAGGTGTTTTTAAGAGTTTGATAATTTTCTATGATCTTGGGTTGTCTGATTGACATGGGAAAATTGTTATCCAGATTTTTAAGAAGGTTCAAGTTAGGTGTAAAATTCGTCAAAGACTAAAATCATTAGAAAAAGAGGCGGTTTTGAAGGGATTACTTCTAGAAATTTTTTAATGGAGGTTAAGGGATCTTTGGAGTGAGGTTTGAGGATGCGACTTTGAGGAGATGGTGTTTTTGTAAATAAAAAGGAATTTTAAATCCAGAAAGGTCGTCTAAGAAAATGGATTCGTATTAATAGGTTTCCTGGGATAATCCGACTAAGGAGAGAAAGAAAGGCGAGAAAGTTAGCCCTCGATCAAGCTTCGTAGTCCTGCGTGATGAAGAGGTTCACAACTATGAGTAGGAGAGGAAGAGTCGTGACTGGCGGAGGGGGGAGAACGGCTGTGAACTTGGCGATGACGATCGCGACTGTTGGTCGTCAAGCGATGGAGAGGCCTCGACCCTATCCTCCTAGACGACCCGGAGTGTCGGCAGTTCGAAGTTTGCCGCTGAATTAGGGCCGGAGGAGGGACCTCGAAGAGAATGGCGCCAGAGCTCCAACAGTGAGGATCGTCGAAGAGGAAGAGGAGGAACCAATAGAGGAGGAGCCAAAAGAGGAAAAACATCTGGAGCTTGAGCATGAGAATGCAGACATTGACGCGACTAAAGAGGTGAGTGTGAAGGGGGTAAATTCTACGCCTTACGGTATTTGAGTTTTTGAGATTGATTTCTATGTGCCATACTTGCCTTTGTGTGTTTCTATGATGTCGTGTGAGTTTGTGTGAATATTCTTTAAGTTGTATGTTATTGCTTGCTTTACTTACAAGTAAGTTCAAGTTTAAGAAACAATTACTTTTTAAGAAGTAACCACCTTTAAGAAGGTGAAGTCGTTTTAAGTGTTTTTGGTCACTAGCATCAGTCCATTATCATTTGAGATTTTCAGATATAGCAGCAGTTATACTCTTTATATCTTCGAGATAGAGCAACAGTTATGCTCTTTAGATATTTAAGTTAAGCAGCAATTATGTTCTTGAGAATCGTGG